GCCCACGGGCCTCGGTTTCCCCGTCGGGGTGAGCTGCTTGATGCCCGAGTCAGGCGGGCACGTCTAGCATCAACGCCACTGTCTAGGTGAGCAGTGAGGGTGGCCCGAGAGCAGAGCTCCGGGCGGGACCATCCAGGAGGGTCTGAGGGCGGACCCACCCTGACCGCGCCCCTCCAACTCTTGGCCCGGGGCCAGGCGGAGACCAGCGTGCACAGGGCCGCGGTGGACGCCAGCCACACCAGCCAGCAGCTGGAAGAGACGGTGGCCGCCTTCCAGAGGCAGAAGCTGAAGGACCTGCAGGTGAGGGCGCGGCCCGGGCTGCCTGGCGGGTGCACGTGCGTGTGTCCGTGTGCACGCCCGTGTCTGTGTGCGCGCGCCAGTGTGCGCGTCTGCAGGCGTGTGTGAGCACACATGTGAGCCCACGCGGGCTCCCGGAGCGTTCAGCCTGACCGCAGGGCCAGCCGGCAGCCCCAGCACAGCTGCCAACCTGGAGGCGGCGACCCCCTCACGCCCTGGTCCCTTCCCCGTGGTCCCAAGCCACCCGGGTTGCCCCCGCTTCCTCCTGTTCTCCCCAAAGCGCCCACTGCGCTTTTCTGACCCGGCCGCATGCCAGGTGCCGCGCCAAGGCATGGTGGGCGGGTGTGGTGCCGTCCTCCTTCCGCCCAGATCCCCGCCCCAGGACCCCGGGCCTCGGACCCGACGCTCGAGAGAGGTCTCGGGGAGCTGAGGACTTTCAGAACCGGCGGAGCATGGAGCCCCCCGCCTCCACGCTCTACCCAGCTTGTCCAGCTTCCAAGTTACAGCCCCAGGGGTCTCTTAAAAGGCCGATCCCTGTCGGGTCCGGTGGCTCACGCCTGTCCTCCCAGCACTTTGGGAGGCCGAGGCGAGAGGATTGCCTGAGTCCAGGGGTTCGAGACTAGCCTGAGCAACATGGTGAGACCTCATCTCTACAAAAAATTTTAAAAATAAGCCAGGCATGGTGGCGTGCACCCGTTGTCCGCGCTACTTGGGAGGCTGAGGCCGGAGGATGGCCTGAGCCCAGGAGGTCGAGGCTGTGGTGAGCTGTGATTGTGCTGCTACACTCCAGTCTGGGAAAGAGAGTGAGACCCCGACTCAAAAAAAAACACACAGACACAAAAGCAAAAGAACCACAAAATAGCCTGGTGTCCACACCAGCAGGTAGATGGCTCAGGGCCCTCACACCGTGTGAGCGTTCCGACCCCCTAGACAGCTCCTGAAACCTAGGCAGCGGCCCCCGGGCTCTCTGAGCTGGGGCCTAGGGTGCCTGAGCTCCTGGCTGAGACCGAATCGAGGGACCCCGTGTGAGGACCGCCACTCTGCTCGCTCTCAGAGGGCTTGGAAGGGGACTGTCCTCGGCCCTGTTGCAGGGGAACAAGCTGAGGCTTGGAGCGGCTGTGAGCCAGCAGACGGCAGGGGGCAGCCCCGAGCCCCGCCCCTTTTTTTTTTTTTTTTTTGTTGGA